TAGTAGGTTGAGATGTTCTGTATTGTGTTACTGTCAATGTGTTGTTTAGGTCTATTCATGTTGCTTTATAATTTTGGGTGAATCTCTGGTGCACAACTACTAGTAACAGTTTTCACACAGTGAAGAATTGTCCTCGTGGTCATTACATAATATCCATTGCCACTAAGATCAGGATCAAGACAGGGTGTCCACTAGAACCCTTGTTATTCAAGGGTTTGGACGTTCTAGCTGAAATAATAGACAAGAAAAAGACATAAAGAGAACCATATAGGAAAAGAAGTGTAACTTTCAAAATTCAAGATGATATGTTAATATAATTAGAAAAAAAAAAGCTCTTCACAAGATTTTCAGGTGAATGAGTATATTAAAGTTACAGGATACAAAACCAAAGAAAAATCAGTTGTATTTCAGTAAGCAAAAAATGTATCAGAGGAAAGGGAAATAAGGAATGCAGTTGCATTTACATTCACAACAAAACAAATGAAATGCCTGGGAATAAACATAATGAAGGAAGAAATGGAATTGCATATTGAAATGTATTTAAACCTGTTAAAGAAAATAAAAGAAGACACAAACAAGAAACTACCCTCGTGGTGGGATGAATTCAGATCAAGCAAGTGTCTCAACTTCAGAATTCTCACCTGGTTGCCTGGGATCTGTCCTTGGTTGCAAGTGAAAACCAGGAGGCTGAGAGTCCCTATGAGTTGCAAAGTCCCATTCCGCCTTTTTCGAGATCCTTTGAGAGGGTCATCAAGCTTCCCTGTTTGAGGGCTTTGTTTCTTGGGGAACTTAACCTTCTCTGAGGAGCTGCAGTTGGCAAGTCTGCTCTGGATGCTGGTGGATACCTGTGTGGTGACTATAGGGGGCCATGTGGAGTTGCTGGTCCCTTAATGTCTCCACCGCTCTCTGCTAGTAGAATGCAGTGAGATACCCAAACTGGGTCATTGGACTACTTCCTGGCAAACCAGAGCAACCTTGCTTCCTTCCACTGCCTCCCACTCTGTTTTCCACAGTCTTCTGGGGACTGCACATAGTCTCACCTTTGCTTCACTGGCCAGGAGGGCAAGTCTCTCCTCTGGGGCAGGTGGACACAGTCCTCAGCACCTCTCATCACTCCCACCACACCCATGCTCATAACCTCTGTCCATTTCATCAGGAGAGAAGGGACCCCGTTCAGGGTCATCTATTTCCACAAAGATATGTGTCAGAAATGTCACATTTGATGACACAGAGAAAACATCTCCCATAGCTGTTGAGGTATGAGGAATATCAGCTTCTGCACATTCCTCCCACACAGCAGCACTAGTTCAAGCAAAAAGAAGGAAAGCATTGAGGACCCATTCTCTGGCGTGTTTCTTAAGAAGTCTTGCTCATTATGGCAAGTTCTGTCTGCTTTCCTTTGTTTATTTAGTAGGGGAATATGAAATCCTACCAGCAAATGTTGTATTTGGTGAAGACAGGCTTGGCTCCCTGTGGAAAGCCTCCCCCTATGGTGGCATCCCTATTGATGTCAGCGCAGGCCCCCAGAAGAGTGAACCCTAACTCCTTCCCCTCCCCAGTGACAGATGACACTACCACTTCACATGAGAAAAAAAATTTCCTTTGAAAATCAATAATGTGACAGAAAAATGACATTAATATTAGAAGATATGCTCACATGACAAAAAAAATCATAGTTTCTGCAGACTGAAAAGGGAAGTGGTCCTCCAAGGAAAGGTGGGAGAGCCATGATTATGAAGGAGATAGTGCCATGAACACTGAGGGTGGTGGCCTGAGTCCCATAGGACCCTAGACCTGTCTGGAAGGTTCTGACTGGAGGCCTGGACTGCCTCAGTGGCAAGACTCTTTTTCTGGGTCTTCCCATTTGTTACAAATACTCTGGCCTTGAGATCTGACTTGGTAACCTTAGGGGCTGTTACTCATAATTCTCCTTTGCTCTTGAAACAACAGAAACATGTGGTAGTGAGAATGTCCACCCCCTGTGTCCTGGAGTCTCCCTTTGCCAGAATCAGGATGACCTTGGTGAAGGGCCATTTTCCCCTCTAGGATATGCCCAAGAAGCCTGATGAGTGCTTGAGCATCAGTGTCCCAGTCACCCATAAAGGAGCTGCTTCTCACTGGTCTCTGCTCTAGGCAATGGTGGTTTGATGCTTATGATATTGCTGGGCATTTTCCGGACCTTTGTTTTGGCGAAGGAAAATCCACTGAAGAAAATTTCTTCTTTTTTTTCCTGATGTTCTTGAGGTGTCTGTCCCTTCATCTGCAGGAGATGGAAGGGCTTGCTTGTTGGGGACTCTGATTCCTTACCCAGTGAAGAATGACTCATCTCACTGCTTCAGAAGGTTTCTGTCCTGCAATTTTTTTTTTTCATTTTGTTGTCTGTGTTTGGACCTCTTGCAACTTTTCCCCTCATGAGTAGGGGCACATGTCTGGCCTCGGCTCCTTTTCTGCTACCACAGGCACTGGGGCTCAAGCCACCCCGGCTTCTGTCTCCTTTGGATGAGAAGTCATCGATCCCCTGAGAAGCTGGCCAGTCTCCACTGGTCGCCCTCTGGACGTTGGTTGATCCTGGGGAAGGCAAAGGGTCTGTTGCACTGAATACATCAGCCTGGTGGACTTCAAGAAGCACATCACAGCCTTGAAGGAGCACAGCAAGAAGGCATCCTGGAGACTGGCTCTGGGACACTGTCAGTGTCTGGTTCTGAGTATCATTCTCCTGCATCTGCTGTATAAACTGTTTGTTGGTGTGAGGCTCTTCCTGGATCCTGGAGGTTTTGATCTCTTAAGGTCCATATTCGTGCTATGGATGTGACTCCCCAGGTTATTTCTGAAGTGACTGGGTTTAATGGTGACCTCCAATGCAAGGACCTCTTTGATGTCCACATCCCCCCCATGTTCTCTGAGTTCTGCACATCGGGGCCCTAATGTCAGGTCCATTGTTGCCATGATCCGAGTCTCAGGGGTGCACAGTCACTGATACTCTTCTTCTTGTGCTCGCTGTCTAAGTCCAACCTCTGTGTAGGACCAGACATGGAGGACACTCAGGCACTTAGCGGTGACCCATGAGGTCTCTGCATGCAAGCTCTGATTGGGGTTCTCTGTGTGAGCCTTTAGGGGTCTCAGTGTTGGACTGTGTCAGAGGCACCTGCACACCTGAGTCAGAGATCTCTGGCAGGATTCCCTTTGAGTCTGTTGGTGGTCACTGTGGGAATCTGTCATGGTGCTATTTGGGCCTCTGCCACTTTCTGAGAAATTAACTCAACACATGAGGTCTCAATTTGTCTCCAGGGAGCTGTCTTTGGTGTTAAGTGAAAGCATGAGGCTGTGAGTACCTACTGTGCTTCCCTGTCCCCCTTCAGATTTTCCAGAGGTCTGTTGATAGGGACATCAAACTTCCCTGCTTTAGGGCTCTGCTTCTCCGGGAACTTGACCTATTTTGAGAGCTGTAGGAGGCAAGTCTGCTCTGGATGCTGGTGGTAGTCTGTGGGGACCTTAGGGGGTCTGTGGTTTTGCTGGGCCCCCAATGTCTCCTCCCTTCTCTGCTTGTTGAATGCAGTGATGTGCCAGCCTCCCTCACTGCACTAACTATGAGCAACTCAGAACCACTTTGCTTCCATCACCCACCTCCCACTCTATTTGCTGTGTTCCACAGTCAGACGGGACTGCACTTAGGATCATCCCTGCTCCACTGCCCAAGAAGGTCAGACCCTCTGCTGCAATTGATGACATGATCCTCAGCACCTCCCTGCAATCCCAACAGACCTTGCCTCTTACCCTCAATCCTTGTCATTAGGAGAGAAGAGGTCCCGGGAAGATGTCCACTATTCTCCCAAAGGCATGGGGGCAGAGTACTCCTACATTTTGGCTTGAGGACAGCACCCTTCACCCCAGCTCCATACAGACATCTCCCACACTTGTTGAAACCTGAGAGGAATTTCGGTTTCTGCTCTATCCTCCCTGAAATATCACCAGCTCAGGCAGAGAGACAGCAGGAGATGATGCCAGACCCTCTCTTGGCCTGTGTCTTAAGAAACTTGCTCATATTGTCAACTTCTACCTGCTTTCCTCAATTCTTTCAGTAGGGTGCTGTGAAATCCCAAGGTGCCATCCCATGAAGTCAGAGAGGGGCCTCAAAAGAGAACCTGACCACTGCCCGTCTCTATAGACAGTGGCCACCACCATATTTCAGGGGACCAAACATGTATTTTGAGAAATATTGGGATGCTAAAACCACTTTACTCTGCAGACATGCTCACATGCGTCACCACGTACTGTGCATGGTGTGCATCTGTCCCTGGAGGAATCTGTCCCATTGGGAAACCTGGGAGAAGCATGATTTTGATGGAAAGAGTGCCTTAGGGTGTGGGGGTGGTGGCTTGATGCCCCAGGCACCCTGGACCTGTGTTGTCAGGGTCTGGCTGGTGTCCTGGGTCCTTGGGTGGCACCTCCCTACTTCTGCTCCACCCACTCCTGTTAGGGCAGCTATGGACCTGAGAGCTGCCTTGGTGAGCATAGGGGCTGTTGCTCATCCCTCTCCTTTGCTCTGATAGGTGAGAGCTCTGTGGCAGGACAAATGCCCACCCTCTGGGGCCTGGAGTCTCTCAGAGGGAGGATGACCTTGGTGAAGGTCCATTTTCTTTTCCAGGGCATTAGCACCCTCATCATCCCTCAGTGAACTGTTTCTGGGTGGTCCGAGGAGCTGGGTAGGGGTGGCGGCAGGCTTGCTGGGTGTCTTCCATTGTTTTGTCTTTGCCAGGAAAGACCCACAGCAGAAAGTTGCTCATTATTTCCTGATGGGACTTCTTGAGGTGCCTGTCGCTCTGCAGGAGATGGCAGGGCTTGCTTCTTGGGGTCGCTGCCCTCACCCAGAAGAGGGTATCGCATCTCTCTGGATTTAGAGCCCTCTGTCCTGCCAACTTTAGTTCTTCTTCTTGGGACCGCTAGGAATGTTTTTCCTCATGAGTGGGTGCATGAGTCTGACCCCTGCTACTTTTCCACAGGTGCTGGGACTTGTGCTGCCTTTGGCAACTCTCTCATTTGGATGAGATGCATCCCGCCCCCAAGATCCTGGCCCGTCTCCACCGGTTAAGCTCGGAAAATGGCTGATACCTGAGAAGCCAGGTGTCTGCAGCAGGGAACTCTTCAGCCTGGCAGTCTTGGGGATGCCTGTCAGTGGCACAGTCCTGAAGGAGCACAGCAGGGACGCAGCCTGGAGACTGGTTCTGAGACGCTGTAAACCTCTGATATTGGCCCTTCCTGAACCACACCTCTAGACATGATTCTTCCCTATCTGCTTCCGTAGATTTTTTTGGGTGTTGCGGGGCTCTTTCTGGATCCCCTGGGTTGGATGTGGGTACTCAGGTGACTGCTGGTGTGACTCAATTTCATGGTTCCTTACCAGCAGGGACATCTTTGATCCCTTCACATGTAAGTTGCTGTCTGACCTCTGCACATTGGGATCCTAACATGAGGTCCACTGTTGCCACGCTCTGGTAGGAGTCTGGTGATGAGACTCTCACTCTCCTCCCTTGCTCATCTGTGGCCATTACTGAACTTGGGTTGGCTCTAGGCTGCCTCCCTCAACCCCCAGGACATTCCATCTGCCCCAGAGCCTGCCCACCAAGGGGTACGTTAAGGTTGGGATTGGGCCCTTCTTTCCTGTCCAGTAACAGGGGTCTCTGAGGTGCTGTGGTCATCACCACATGGGGTCCCTGCCTGGGCCTTCTGGGAGTCCTCATTGGCAGGAAAGGGGGCTGGGAAGAAAGGCACCTCAGTGAGGTTGGAATTGATATTTTATTATCAAGCTGTGCTTCTAATGGTGTAGGGTTTGATACCAGGGCTTAATTAACTTGCCTTTGGAGCCCATCCCTGATACACAGAAGGCTAAGCTAGAAAAGAAAGACTGCAGATGGGCTGAGGCTGGAACTTTTTTCAACTTGAAGAGATTAGCAACTTCAGTATTCTGAAGGGCAAGTGCCTCCTGGGCCTCACACTAACTTGTATTAGTGAGCCGGCTGAGCACAGACAACTGCAGTCAGGCAGTTGTGTAACTCGCTGGCGGAGGAGACTCATGTCCAGGCTCCTTGGGAGGGTGGACTGTCTGGGAAGGGAAAAGGCATGTTGGTCACCAGCCTGGAGCAATGACCTTCCAGGGGAATCTGACCCTTTAGAGACTGCCAGAATTTCCTGATGAAATGGGCTTCCAGGATGATTTCTGTGTTATCTGCAGGCAACTGTTTAAGGGCCTCATTATCTTTCCTTTTAACAATGACCTTCAAGCCTGGGAGTCCCCAAAATGCTGGGAGATGTTGGTGGCTTTCCTGGTGGCTTCTTGCAATTATTTATGCACAGAGGCTGAATTCCTGCTTCCTAGCAGCTTCTGCTAGAGGTGACATTGCAGGTTTTGTATTGTCATTGGCATGAAGGATTGTGACCTGTTCTGAGCCACAGGGCTAGATACCCTACAGCAACCCCTCTAGATTGGTCGTGAAGTTGGTGGGAATGGAAAGGAGCATTAGAAGTGGGGCTGAGTTTCAACCTGAGCCTTATATCCAGCCCATGATTGGGCTGCAGAAGGAGTTTAGTGTTGGGGTTGGACCACAGGGGACTGGACTAAGGGCTGGACCAGAGAGTGATGTGAAGCTACTACTACTTCATGAATTTGCCCAGGTAAGACATTAAACAGTTGTTCCAACAGAATGGAGGGAAGATCTGGGGATCCAGAGACCATGACAGATCCATTAAGGACTCACTGTGCAGATTCATAGATCCCAAGGTTTTCTGTAAGTGGTCCCCCAAAATCTCAGGACATGGTAGCTCTCTAGCACCCAGCAGCTGCTCTAATCTGTCTTTCATGCTCCAGAATGGCGGGCCACCCATGATATCCTCTGTGTCATCCAGCGACTTGAGCATATTCCCTGAAGAATTTAGGTGACTGACCCTTCTGCTGCTTCTTTGTCCTTTCAGCTGCACTCTCAGCTTCCGGGAGTCAGGGATGATGAAAGTCGGGCTACCAGCCTCCACCTGGTGGTTTTTAGTGTTGTCCCAGAATGGGGCCCTTGGTTAGGGGATTGGAAGGCCCCCTCTCAATGACTCAGGATGTGACCACGCTGAGAGGCTCAAGGCTTTGGCCCTTCTGGAATCCCACCAGGACATGGACGTAAAAGGACGGGTTGAGCATCCTAGGCCTGAGATGGTTTAGATGGGAGACTGTGTCCAAGGGATATGGGAGAAGAGTATGGGGCAGTGCCCATTGGCAGTGACAACGAGTCACACTGAGGAAGAGTCAAGCTGGAGCCTGGAGATGGGTGGCCAGCAAAGGCCATCAGAGATGGAGGCCAGGCCTCTGAACCAGGGGGCGCTGAGTGGCGAGGTGAAGGAGCAGGTAAATGGGGGCAAAGGCTCTCCAGGGGACGAGGAGTGTATGATGGCTCAGAAGCGGTCAGTATGACTCTGAACTAACAGAAAGTAAGGAAAACATGGGTCCTGATGAGTGGGTGGAGGCCAGAGGTAAGGAGTGCATGGTCAGAGAAGCTGACAGGGACATGGCAGGAGTAGCAACTTCCACACACTTCCCTGAATGCTGGTGGGCTCTGGCAGATGCTGCTTTCCACCCATTGCTCAGGGGGTCGTGACCTAAGGGCTGATGGCAGTGCCCTTTTCATGGTGCATCCTCAGGTGGCTGCACAAGACAGGAGGCCCAAGCTATGGCCAAGAGAAGAGGAACCAGGAGGCCCAGGCAGGACAGGCAGCATGGGCACCCGTATCCCAGTCTCCTTCCATTGCCCCTGGCTGACCTGGGCTACCAGCCTCCACCTGTCGTTTTCTAGTGCTACCCAGAATAGTGCACCTGATAGGGGGCTGGGAAGGGGCTGTCAAAGGGACCCAGGTTGTGACCATGCTGAGAGTCTCAAGGCTTTGGCAATCCTTGAGTCCCAAGTGGTCAGGGACAAAAAGGACAGGTTAAGTATCTTAGGACTGCAAATATTGTTGGTTTCACTTCTGATTTGGATTCCTTTTATTTCTATCCATTGCTTAACTGACTGTGCTGACTGGACTGCCAGTACTTTGTTGAATATCACTGATGAGATCCCGACATACCTGTCCTGTTCCTATTCTTAGGGAAAACCTTTCAGTATTTTTAAATTAATATGCGTACAAGATCTGGGTGTAGGCCTGTGGAGTGGTGGATGAGATGATTCGCCAGAGACAGAGTGGGGAGAAGAGCAACATAAATGGAGCTGGAAGGAATCATGCTTAGTAAAATAAGCCAGAAAGAGAAAGAAAAATGCTAGATGGTCTCATTCACAGCAGGAATTTAGTAAACCCAAATAAGGGATCAGGAAAAAGACTAATTTAATATAGTGAAAATCAAAATCAACAGGCAACTATAAACCAGAGGCACACTGTGGGGGCAGGGGAGAAAGGAGTCAGATCAAAACAAGGATGGTGGGAATTTTACCGAAACTATAACCAAGATGAAGAGGCACACATTGTACAAAATGAAAAAATGATGTAAATTATATAAAATGAAAAAAAAATGATTTTTTCCAATAAAATAAAATAAAATACACTGCTGAGGGTTGCAGCAGGCAAGATAGGAAAGGTCTGCTGCACCATGTGGGTATTTCCCTGGCCTGGGATCGAACTCATGTTGCAGTGGCTGAGATAACTTGATATGCTGTGTCTTTAACCCCTGAACCACCAGGGAGAACCCAAATCTTTCAGTTTTTTAACTAAGTGTGCTTTTCTCTATATGGCATTTATTATGATGAGATATGTCCCCTTCACAATTTATGAGAAACTTCACTGATAAATGGGTGTGGAAATTGTGAAATGTTTTCTCTGTGTCTATTGAAATGACCATGTGAATTTTCTCCCTTGTTGATGTGGTGAATGTCGTTGCTTGCATAATGTATAGGAAACAATTTTGTATCTCTGCAGTTAAATCTACTTGGCCATGATGAATTATTCAATTAATGTATTGCTGGATTAATCTGCCAAAATTCTCTGGGGGACTTTTGCATCTATGTTCATCAGAGATATTGACCTATGTTTTCCATTTGTACTGTCATTGTTTGGTTTTGAGACCAAGCTAATTTGGCCTTTTAAAATGTGATATGGAAATTTCCTTACTGTTCAATGATTTTTTGAAGGGTTGAGGTTAGATCTTCTTTAAAGTATGAAATATTTGCATTTGGGGATAAAAGAAAATCAGTGGACCTTGAGGGGATTATGTTAAGTAAAACAAGTTAAACAGGGAAAGGCAGATACCACTTTCACTTATCTGTGGAATATAAATACACAAAACACTTGTTTTGTACTGAAGAGTTGGAACAAATCTTGAACTTATCAAGATGAAGCTAATGGTTACCTGAGTGAGCAGGGGAGAGAGAGGAGGGTATGGGAGAATTGGAGAGGTAAGGTGTGGGCATGTGTGAATTGAAGGGGGGGGGAGATCTGGAAATGAACATGACAAAAACAGAGATGAAAAACTGGTTGGAGGGGTTCAACAGCACATTGAAATGCAGAAAAAAGAATCATCAGATTTGAAGGTGGAGTAATAAAAATTAAGCATTCTGAAGAACAAAGAGAAAAGAGTTTGAAAAAAACTGTCCTGTGAGACATCCTTAGGCACACCACGCATATGAATGAGAGTGCTAGAAAGAAAGGAAGGAAAAGAAAATAAAATGTTGTAGAATTACTGGCTGGAAACTTAACAAATATGATGAAAACGATTAATCCACAGACAATGTTTACCTCTAGCAAGATAAAAACAAAGAAATCCACCTTTTGTCTCATAGTCAAACTGTTATAGGACAGACTGTGGGAAAACAAAGGGTTAATTTTTAAATAGCAAGAGTAAAACAGTTCTTCATATCCAGAGGGACCACAATAAGAATGATCAAACTTCTAATCAGGAAATTTGGTGGGAAGGATGAGATATTCAAAGAGCTGCTTGCAGTCCCACTTACAAGAGTAACTGCAGGAGGCCTTTTGAACTGAAATGCTTGATTCTTATTTGAAAATGCAGGATGTTTTAGAGGATTGTGTTTGAGTGTGTGTGTGTGGGGGGCTGTGACATATGTCTATGAGTACAGAGTGTTGGAAATATTTTCAGTTTAACTTTTATTAATTTCAGAAGCAAAAATTCTAGAAACTTATGAATATATATATATATATATAGAGAGAGAGAGAGAAGGTTTGAATATTTTAATTGTTTATGTCTTTATCTTTCTAAGTTTTGGGCAATTATTCAATTATTCTCTTGTTAAAGAGAATGGAGATTAACTGCAATGAAAGTTTGTATTTTTTTCCCTCAAAGTTCACAAATAAATATAAAGGAAATTTATATTCTGAGTTTGCATCAATGAAAGGACATTATGAGGGACAATGAAACCATTATGGGGAAAAGGTGGCCTTTAAGACAGTTTCCTGAGAGTATAGTCCCTGAGACATAAGTAAAACTTCCAGGAGCAACCCCAGATTTTCCAAAGATATGAAATTGATGAAGCTCAAGCAGCGATGGCAAAGGATCCAGGAACAACTGGGCTCCAGGTGGAATGACCAGTGACGTGACTGTGACTGTGGACTCTCAACAGGGTAAGGGGCGGCATTGAAGGGTCAGCAGAGGGTGGAGCAAACTAAGGGAGGGGCTGGGATTTCCCCTCCTCCTCTGACTCTCACCCCCTTGTCCTCAGGAGCCTATGATGAGGGCCTGGGTTTAGGCCCCAAGTGCACTCCCAGGGTTCAATTGCTCAAGAGCAGCTGTGCGATTCAGACCATGGAGAATTATCTCTTGTCTCTGAAGAGCGCTGTGCCTTGTGGGCTGAGCTCCAACTGCAGTGGCTGGGTGACGGATCCCATCTTCGTCTTCCTGTGTGGGTGGGGGCTCTACTTCCTGCTACTTGCCTGCCTCCAGAGTACTCCATCCTTACCACCACCTTGGAGGGACAGAAACTCCAGGAAGGTAAGAAGCCCTTGGGCCCGACCCAGTGCCACAGGATTCTCTCTTCTGTCCACAGTCATGTGAGAGACTCCTGGGAAGGGAGAGAACAGATCATCTTTTCTCAGGAAAGAATAGAACCTCATGATCCTGGAGACAAGCCAGGCCAGCCGGGGTGTGAGTGGCTCACTAGGATTTCTGTCTGAAGGTGTCAGACCAGGGGTCCAGGTCAGTAGAGGTTCCAGGGCAAAGTCCCAAATGGCGCCCAGGGACAGGGTGCCTGAGAGGGGTGACCTCTGAGGGAAGCCAGGCCCTGAGCACTGTCCCCCAGGTGCCTTGCTGTGGCGGGTGTGTGCGGCCAGCTTATCCTCATCTGAGGTTAATGGGGTCTGGGGGTTGTGCAGAGACCCTGGAGCCTCTGAGCAGGACAGAGTAGAGCGCTGGTCAGCGGAAACAGGTCCTATCTGAACTCATGGAGCTCAGCACCTGGAGGTCTGAGGATTTGTGTTTCTTGGGTAGGGCTGGAGAGACCTATGATGGGTCTAACACAGAAGATCCTTTTTGTGATATTCCACGAAGGAACACTTTAGAAATGAGGAGAGGGAGAAGCAATGTGGAAAGTCACGTTCATGTGCACTGACTGTCTGCAGCTAGAGAGGACAGTGAGAAATGGATCCCATCTCTCTTTTATTCTCATTTCTCAGCATCAAAAGGAGCTGAAAGGGAGGGATAGAAGCTGAAAGAAACATTGAGTTTTGAAAGGGAAGTGGCTGTAGGTCAGCTTGACTGAGTGTCACCCTATTTCTCCTGACTCTGAGTCCCTACTCCCAATTCCAAGGATGCCAGGGCTCATACCTCAGGCACAGAGCCATGGGGGAGGCTCATGGGATGAGATGGAGCCCTGACACCTCCCAGATTCCAGGCACAGAAGACAGGCTAGGAAATGTGTGCTGCGGGCAGGGACACACAGCAGGAGTGGACCAGCAGTGGGTGGCCAGGGACGTGGGTCCTCCAAGTCCAGCTAGAGACAAGTAGTTTAATCAGCCTTGCTGCCCGTAATATTTCACCCTTCTTCATACCAATGGCAATTCAAACGTGCAATGTCACCACTTGCAGAAGCAGCTAGAAATTGGGACTTCAGCTCCTGTGCATAAAAACATCATAGAATCCACCAGCAAAGTAACCCCCTAAAGCTCCCAGGACTTTTGGGAATCCCAAGCCTGAAGGTCATTGTCAAAAGAAGGGTAATGAGGCCCTCGCCTAGGTGCCCCCAGAAGACCCCTCCAAGCCCGTTTGGTCAGGAAGTTCAGGCAGATTCCACATGGTCAGGTCCCCCGGGGTGGTCATCTCTCCAAGCTGGGACCAGCCATGCCTTGTACTTTCCCAGACAGTCCGGGGCTTGTAAGGAGCAAGAGGCTTGGGGCGGACTCTTGGTCTCCTCACTGGGGAGGTATGTAACAAGAACGCCTCCCTGGGATGGTCTGTGCTTAGCCCACTCACCCGAACTCTCCTGTAAGAACATACCAGCAGGCTTTGGGTGAGGCATGAGTGGTATTTGCCCTGAAAATACTCAAGTTCCTCAGTCTTTTCGAGTGGAAAATGTTCGACCTTCACCCTTTCCATAATCTGGCTGGCTCAAAAGGCAAGTTGATCAGGCCCTTGGGAGTCCCACCCACTGGGGCCTTTGAGGGAGAACTTGATAATACATGTCAGTTCCCACCCCCACCTGGGTGGCTTCCCTCCCAGCCCCCTCACCTGCCGGTGAGGCCTCCCAGGAGGCTCGGGCAGGGACCCTTGGTGGTGGCCACGGTGCCTCAGCGGCCCCTGCTACTGGGCAGGAAAGAATGGTCCTTTTTCAGGTCTTCACATAACGGGGTGGGCAGGCTCTGGCGCAGACGGAATGACCTAGGGGTTGAGGGAGGCTGCCGAGAGGCAAGCCCGAGTTCAGTAATGGCCGCAGAGGACCCAGGGAGGAGAGTGAGGGTCGCAGCTCACCTGACTCCTCTCGGAGCGTGGCAACAGTGGACAGCTCTCAGGCCACAGCTGCCCGAAGATTAGTGAGTGGAGCAGAAAATGGAGGTACCATGCAGGGACCCAGGCCCCAAGCCAGACGCTGCCAGCACAGGTCCAGGGTGCCAGGGCCTTGCGCCACCACCCCCACTGCCCAAGGCACTATGTCCATCAACATCACACTTCTCCCAGCTTTCCCAATGAAAATGCTTCCTCCAGGGTCAGTTGTGTACCATGCACAGAAGTACAGTGGATACACGTATGAGCACATCTGTATATTACAGTTGTTTTAACATCCCAATATTTGTTTGTCAAAATACATTTTTGGAGCCCTGAGATGTGGTGGTGGCCCCTGTCTGTGTGGACGGGCAGGGTCAGGTTCCCTCTTCTTAGTGTCTGCTCTGACTTCAGTGGGATGGCACCGTGGAGGGAGGCTGACCGCTGTGGGGCTTGCCTGTCCTCATCCTAGACCCTTGTGCACCCTAGGGTTTCACATCACCCTACTGATAAAAACAATGGGAAGAGAGAGAACTTGCCAAGATGAACAAGACCAGGAGTTGACTCAGGCCAGGAGCTGACTCAGCCATTGTGTCCTGTTTCTCTCTGCTTGAACTGGTGCTGTTCTAAGGGACAGGTGTGCACAGGCTGAAATTCCCCTCAGGCCTCAACAAGTGTGGGAGGTGGCTGCATGGAGTTGGGGTGCTGGCCTGAGCCAGAATCAGGAGAAATCTACCCCCATGTCTCTGAGAATAGGTGGCACCTGGCTGGGGATCCCTTCTCTCCATGATGACAAGGATTGAGGTCTTGAGGCAGGGGTGTGGTGGGAGTGCAGGGAGGTGCTGAGGACCATGTCCACTTGCCCCAGAGGAGGGTCTGACCCTCCTGGGCAATGGAGCAGTAGTGAGACTGTGCCCTGTCTCCCTCTGAGTGTGGATCACTGTGAACAGAGTGGGTCGTGTGGGCAGGTACAAGGTGGCCCAGGGTGGCCCAGAAATAGTTGCAAGACCCAGTTCTCATCCCACTGCCTGCTACAAGCAGAGTGTGAAGGAGACATTTGGGGCCAGCCACCAGCATGGCCCCCCAGGTTCCCCAGACAGCCCAACACCAGAGCCCAGATCCGACAAGCCACCTGCAGCTCCTAAGAGTACGTCAGGTTCCCAGAGGAGCAGAGCGCTCAAGCAGGGAAGGGTCACACCCTCTCAAGGACATCTAAGAAATCTGAAAGGGACTGGGGAGCTCAGGAAGGACTCACGGGTCTCACTCCCCACCAAGGATGGCTCCCAGAGGACAGGAGAGGCCTCAATGGCTGAGGGGCTGGCCTTTCATGGCATGTCTCTTTGGGCTTCCATTCCGCTTGCTGCAGAGACTAGTGTGGAAAGACACCTTCAGACAGGACCTGTCACAACAGGCCTGAGGCACCTGTCCAAATGGGCGCAGGTGAGGGTGACCCTGAGCTGCTCCTACACTGGCCTACCTGTCTCCTAACTGCCTGTGCTCCTGGATGCTGGAAATACATAGAATGTTACTGCAGTGTCACATGCATGGGGCAGTGGGCCCATTTTGGGCATCACTCCCCACTTTGGGTTCCCTCCAGCAGTTTCCTCATCCCATGAGGGGGATCAGCCTGCCCCCAGCACCTGTCAGTGACCCTCACCTGGGACTTGGACCAGGATATCGGGCAGAGGGACACAGACAGGCTCTGGCCAATTTCTCCCTGAAGCCTGTGCTGGGCCCCTCCTGGGCAGACACCCACACAGAGACCCCTGCAGACACACACCAAGCCCTGTCCCAGGCCTGCACAGAGACCCCAGGCAGAGGTTCCCACACGCAGCCCTCCACCCAGAGCCTGCTCACAGACCTGGCGCAACCTCACGGGCCTTCTCCGGGTGCCTGAGCATCCTCCACTGGCAGGTGCTTCACAGAGGGTGGACTCAGCCAGCTGCCAGCACAGGAGGAGGATCAGTGACTCCGTGGACCCGCCCGGAGACCTCAAGACACTCAGACCCCATAGGTGTTGCTCCATCTGGCACTCCCTGCTTGGGGCACACCAATTGTTGTCCTTTTGTCATGCATTGTCTCTGAGCCTAAGCATTGTGTATCTGACATGTATACTTGTAAAAACCTTTTCTACCACAGTTTTTCATTAGGCTGATCTCTGTCCCACACTTCAAAGAATCACATATTTCAACATGAGTCAAATTCTGCCAACACTAAGTAGAGAAAATAATGCATTTGTCCAGTTTTCACTATCATCCAAATGGGGTCAAAGTCATATTTTTTCAATTCAAGGGGGCCCAATATGACCTCAAGGAAGCTCACCCCTTTCTTTTGATGATAAGTTAATGCCTGCTGCAGGAAATAAGCTCTAGGAATAAAATGAGCAGCAAAAGGCATCTGGAGTTGCTCTTGCTTATAAGCAATTCCTTTTCCTTGCCCTTGTTAAAATCAGGTAGGTCTCTCAGATTATCCACTGAGC